GCCCCCCCCCCCCCCCCAGGGGGGATTGCGTTTTGAAATACGCTTCTAGCTAACGTTTGTTTTTTAACAGTTCCCTGATAATCTTTCTTTGTTACTTATTCTGTTACCTCTTGCTTTACACTGTTTTCAGCTTCTGCCACCATGTTGAGCAACGCTCCCGGAGATTTGAACCCGCCGGAATCATCAGTTTCCATATCTTGGCTTGCCTCTGGAAATAAATCTTCTCGTAACTCTTCCTTAGTACTGCTCTTGTCCGCATTAGTTTGTCCCGCTGTTTCTTCGCTCTGCCCTGAACCACTCTGTTCTGCTGCAGCGGGTTCCTTTGCCTTGTCATCGGAGGACGAACTATTTTCGGCGATGCTAGACAATGTAGCCGTCGCCGCTACAGTGGCTGCAGATCCCTTCTGCTTCGCGTGCCACCGCTTGTGCTTGTTAAAGTTCGACGGGTCACTAAATTTCCTTGGGCATTCCTTGCATTTAAACGGTCTGTCTCCAGTGTGAACACGAACATGAATTTTTAAACTACTGGAGCTGAAGAAAGTCTTGTTACAGTGTTCACACTTGTACTTTTTCTCTCCGGTGTGCTTGAGAAGGTGCGACTTCAGCGAAGTGTACTTCGTGAAGCTTGAATTGCATTCATCACAGGTGTAATTCTTGCCTGTCCGTTGCAGTTTTGCCCCGCCATCGTCTCCATAAACAGCCGCTTCGTCCAAGTCGACCTCAACACCTGCCTGGGCGCCATCTTGAAATTCGCAAACATGGAGCCGCAGTTCCTCCGCCTCGTAGAAGGCCGCGCTGCATCTTGAACAACTGTACGGCTTGTCAGAATTATCTTCCTGCGTATGTGACATTAAGTGAGCCTTCAGTCGGTCGCCTCTTGTGTACTGCTTCCCGCAGTAGTGGCACACGTGGGGCTTCTGCCCACTATGACGTAGCATATGACGTTTAAGGTCGACGGCTTGTGTGAAACGGCGGGAACAAACGTGACATTCGAACGGGCGCGCCCCTGTGTGGACAAGAAGATGGCGCTTTAGTCGGCTGGAAAAGGAAAATTCTTTATCACACTTTTTGCATCTGTACACCTTCTGACCAGACGATGTGACAATCTCGTCAGTCAGCTCTTCTTCTGTCAAGCCAGTCTCTTTTGCTCTCACGGGACGCCCTATAAAAAGAACATCATGACACAGCCACTTAATACAATCGAACCGATTACATGTCTCGTTGACATGCAACGTTCTAGCATATGCCTTGTCAACCCCGTTCCCAGGGTCTTTGTTCTTTCCGCCGCTCTCTCGCTCCAGGGAAGGGAAGGAGGGTTGGGCTGGGGAGGGGGATGAAGAAGAGAGACCCTGGGAACGACGTAATTGCCTTGTCAGTTTAACTCCCAAATGCTTAGATTCTGATCGGTCAAATCAAAAATAACCCATCAAAACGATAGCAGAAATTCACTATAATAATGCCTAGCTATTGCAAAGAGAACTGAGCTAAGACTGGCAGTACCATATAATATGTGTTTAATATCGAAACTTATCGTTGCCATTACATAGTAATCGAAACGACTGACATGGATGCCTTTGAGCGAAACAGAAGCAAAATTAAACTCTTTCTCTTGATTGGTCAGCTCCTATTGGCTCATTACGTTCTTTCTTTACTGCGATTAGCAGATGTGACGGCTTTTGGCTTCAATTGGTTTTACGCAGTCCTTACTATGGCCTAGAAAGAGGCGCAAAATATGAAACCAAAAAGTCAAAGTAGCAGTTTGAAGCAAACGGCTGGGAAAAAGGTAGAGAGGACGAAGGGAGTGGGGTGCAGGATCTTCTGTTAACAACGCACTTTAAAAGCGCAGTTCTCCAGACACCCACCTCTGTCTTTAAGATGTACCACAAGCGGTGGAGGTGGCTGTCCCAGACCATTCTTACTTCTTGTCATATGCACTGGAGGTTGCGGCGCGGCCGGTCGTATTTCAACTGGGATCCCTCTCAACCTGGGCCCAGTCCACTGCTGGTCCATGTGTGATGAGCTCATAGTGGGCGCTGATGATGACTGACTGGGGTGCTGAAGGGGAAGTGCTGGCATGGGGTTCACCACCGATGTAGTCGGCATCTGCCCATAAACAGTCGTCGCCATTGTGGGCGGGTTCACGCTTTCTGCCTGATCATTCACCGAGCCATTCCACATGCTGAAATTCGGCGAAGGCTGGACTACAACAGGACTCTGAGAGCGAAGCGCTTCAGCTACAGAAATACTCACTACAGGGTTGGAGAAGTCGTGATAGTTGGAGGTCGGAGGTGCTTCTATGTGTACGGGAAACGATGCAGGGGGGACGCTGTATACTTGCTCGGGTACGACAACAGGGATGTCGGGGCTCACTGATTCTCCTTCAGACGAGAAGTTGGACACCCTTCGTGCGACTCCTTTCCTGTCGTGTTTCCTGCGTAAAAAACCACATTGATGCACACTTAGTATTGTACAGAGGCAGTTCCGTGGATTTGCATTTCGATCATGAGACGTACGTTAAACACGAAGCCAAAACCGTCAGGCCAAATATGGGCACAGCGTTTTTTCGCATTTTTCCTAGGAATACTTCTATCTTGTTTCCCTGAGGTCATGTTGTCCCGTTGTCCAGAGATGAAGCAAAAACGCAAATGAAATTTATGTGCGCACGAACTTCGAGTATCTTCATGCAGCATTTTTTTCTCCTATTTTCCTCTTCAATTTTACGATCTACAGCCTTAAGAATATGAACCAGTACAGTTTTATAACTTTTTTTTTTTTCGAGTAACTTTAGTTAGCAGCTACAATATACCTTCGTGTAGGAGAATGTACTGAATTGTTCTCATCTGGACTATCAAAAACCTGAGAAAAATAAAGAAATGTCAAACAAACAAACTAATAAACTAACCAACGAGCTCACAAACCAACAATGCAAGTAAGTGTAGCCCCTTGGCATTCTGGCGGGAGGCATCCGAAAGGGCCTGGGAACGGGTTGGGTGAGTTTCCGTTGTAAGTCTGTCCCTTTGAAATTTCGCGCCAAATTGGGCGAAAGCCTGGGTATTAATTATGGCCGACTGAATACCTCTCCGTTTGTAACAGGACTGGTCGTGCTTCGCTGACCAGTTTGTAGTTGGGCACAGTCCTTAGCTGCCTTGTGTTTCAGGTATTTCTGCAAGCTGGTGAACATTCGCTTGCATTTTCCACACTGGAACAGGTCAGGTTCGCTGTCCTCTCCCTCGGACTCGTGTCCTGCAAAACATAAAGGGATATACATCAACGATCACCTCAAAATAGCGCAAATAGACCTCATGTTGCTTAGCAACTTCGGTGACAAAACCGTGCGAACTCAATCAAAATTTTGCCAGGTTGTTGTTTCCCGCCAAAAGATGACGACTGATAACCTTGTTCCCAAGGATATAGAAGAGAGGCCCTGGGTTCCTGCTTACCAGGTAAGTCGGCATAACAAAGTCGCCAGATTACACGAAATTACTGGTTGTGTCCTGGTGTGTCGGTACACAGAGGGAATAACCATTGTACCCCTTTCTTTACGAACCTTTGTTTTACTGTTGAACATTGTTGGGTCTTTTGTATCGGTTCTTGAGAACCGGTACACGAGAAGAGAACCAAATTAAATAGTCCAGCTTCGTTTTGCCTGATCGTGTACGCGCCATTTGAAGACCTTTGAAACTATATGATCTTTCTACAAAATTATAAAGTTCTTGCAGCCTTGAATTCTACGGCTGATTTTTTTCCCCGCCGATCTAAACCTCAAAGCAGACAGAAAATATCAGCTTGAATAATAAACAACATCAATAGAAGTGCTCTTTATAAAATGAAAATTATTAAAATCCGCGTCGGCCGGTTAAATGTCATGACCACTATTATCACCATAATTAGAGACCAAGCTATCGCTCTATACAAAAGGAGTTTCCACATACCCTCAGCGAAATCTTTCCGTAAGCAAAAAATGTAGAACTTTGCTTCTTTCCACATCTTTGCTTCTAGCATCCCTCGCACGACGGCAGCCATTGCTCAAATGTATACACACGTGGCTAGTGACATTTTATTTTTGCCTGCGTTGCACTATGGGATAGCATCCCTCACTCTTTATTTATTTTTATTTTTTCACTCCTTATTCGTAAACTTTTCGTAAACTTTCGTGAACGTACGGGGATTTGCCGGTATTTTATTAGCCAATCAGATAACTGCACGATTATGTCCGAACAAGACAGCGAGTTGTCGCGAAAGAAAAATAAAAGTTTCATTCTTTTTGCTTCAAAAGGTGAGTCCAAGGAAATGACTACTTTTCTCCTTAAACTAATGTGATATTTTTCAAATTAGCTTGTGTCACTGCTGCTGCTCATTTTCATCTTGTGCAATGTTTAGATAAAATCTTACAGCGAGTCAAAGTACAGTGTATAGAGCGAGGCTTGCTGTTCTTTGCCAGCGCTTGGTAGCTCTTGGTGTTACGTGTTTGCAATTTTCAGTTTTACAAGAGCCTTCATTTTTTTTTTGCATGCAATCTTTGATAGTATCTCTATGACTTCAAAGGTGAGTTGAGGTAACAAGTCTTCTACTTAGCTAGCTTTTTAAAGCGTCGTAATTGGCTTTTTATTGTACGACTGCTTGTTATGATCTACAAATTGCTGCAAGCTTAAGTTAATTAGTTTAATTTACCCAGAGAGAATAAAATTATGCTCTTGTTTATACCTAGTTTAAGGAAATAATAATAAGAAACATGTCTACCAGTTAAACTGGTATTCTCAATGTAATTTCATAAATTCCAATAACATGTCCTTCAGAAGTTCAGAAATATTTGGATATTCCATACACCTTATTCCAAAATGGCCACCATTTAAGTATTCTTTTGTTTTCTTGCAAATTAGCACTTGTTGCCTCGTTCTTAAGCTCAAAATTCAAAAGAATATTTCCCTTAAACGAGGCAACAAGGGCTAATTTGCAAGTAAATAAAAGAACACTAAGACGACGGCCATTTTGGAATAAGGTGTATTAATAGTAGGTAATAGACCCTTGAAATTTACAAAAAGTTTTAATCTGTTCTTGAAAAATTCTCCCCATGAACTAAATTAATTTTGTATAACTCACTCTCTTCCCCAAATTATTGGAGAATCAGCTCAAGAGACGAGATTTGTGTCTGTCAGCTGTGTATGTTGATGAGTTTCCTCACTGACTAACAGGACAATTTTGTATGTGAAACCACGTCCTCAGAGACCTAGGGGCTGTTAGTTGGGACAATGCGATATTTCTGGGCAAAAGCACTTTCCCCAGAAAATATCGCATATCACATATTGCATCATCCTGACTAGCAGCCCCTGGGTCTCCCAGGATGGTGAAACCTCTGCACTGATGAAAATAATTGTTCACATAGGGGGTGATTGAATGGAGAATTTCAGGGGATTCCAAAAAAAAAATCCTCATGAAATGAAGTTGGTTAGATTACATGTACTTGGAAAGTTTTAATCATGGCTGAAATTCAGCTCAGGCTGAAAATGTGGGCCTGGTTCGAGAAACTAGGCTAGAAAAGTCTTGGCCAAGAAAGAGCTCCTGGACTGAAAAGGGAACTCTGACAAACACACATGCTGGGAGTGTTCAGTGATTGTGTTTGTTGCTATGAGGAGAAAAGGTAAAGAACTTTCAACCCCCTTATGGGGCTGAATTTTTTTCATGTAGTCACCCAGTCGTGTTGATTGTTCAAGTACAGTGGGACTTAAAATGACACATGCTCACAAGCATGGCACAAAATTGTGTCGAGTATGAAACACTTTAATAGCAGCCACACAAAATTGGTTGAAAATTATATTTGCCATTGTCATGATAAGCTTTTTTTATATTTTGAACTTTATCCTGATGATACATGTAGAGAATTGCTGTTCAGTAATGGGAATTTCATTACTCAAAATTTAAAATCCAGCAGTGGATCCATTGCATTTAGTTTTAGAGCTCATATCAACGAGTATTTTCAAAACTCATTTGTATTTATCAGTGTAACCCATGAAATCCAAATAGCTGGCTATATATAAGTAATTAACTTTTCTTGGGCATTGAAATGTATCAGCAGATATGTCATAAAAATATGGTGGAGTCTTGGGCCCTTTTGTAGGCCAAAAAAGCCAAAAAAAACCCTTGCATGGGCCTTAAGGTCATTCCTCAC